AAGATAAAATGTACTTTCAGACATATACGAGTTTGCAAATATGTGTGAAGAATAGTAAAGCTCATAATTGCTGGGAGCTTTATGATAAAGTAGTACGATCTTGATAAGATTTGGCTCAAATATTAGGAGCATAGTGAATTTAATAAATGTTAGGTATGGTCATGATAGCTTAATAAACCACAATGTTATCCATACAATAATATGATTAAATTTTAAAAACCTTATAATTTGAGTATATAATATAATTTGAATTGATCCCGCCCAATGCATCATAAAATTGTTCAACACTGAGTTCAATCAGTGACTCAGTTCAGTGCGAACTAGCAGTTCTTTTGAATAAGCTACTTGATAATTATAATTAATTCGTTTTCTGAAAAACTTTCCGAAAAATCAGTTTAGAATTAATGTGTAAAGTTACTTAAAATATAATGTATATCTACAATAAATATGTACCTTATTCTTAGATAAGATATTGTGGTTCAAGTGCAAGTCTAATACTTTTACGTAAATTTGTTTAAGATTCGGAACGGTGTTAGAGCACTGTTATTTTTTTAATATATCAAAATCATTACTATCGATTAAATTGTTCAGTTATTTACCACAACGTATTACTTTATGCTAAAGAGAATCGGAGTGCCCTTATTAAGAAAGCGCGCTCGCTGTTAACAACAGTTTAGCAAAAGTTAAGTTAGCTGTTAGCTCAGGGCAGCAGAAAAATAAATGCGAACTAGAACTAAATGAACGACTGTCGAGGACGTCCAGTTAGGTGAGTCGTTCGATCGAACTTATTCCGAACGATTCGATACAACTCTAGTATACACAAAAGGTTTAAAATAAGTACTTTTCTTGTGTGATAAACAGCAAAGTGTATTAAAGGACACTTTAAAACGGCAACTTAAGAGCAAAGTTCGCAATAACAGACCGCAACATGGAGCCTACATTATAGTTTTGCGTGCATCGGCTGCTGGAAAACGGTAACAACAGCCCTGCCCCATTGCGTCCCCCTTGTATAACGACCCTGTTCCCTAAGTGCACTGCTATTCCTGCCTTAGACACAGGACACAAAAGTGAAAACTTTTATGCTGATTGGAAATCATATTAATAAATAGACTGTGTAGAGAATGAGCTATAATGAGATGAAGTGTTATAAAACCAAATGAATTATACACAATGAGTGCCATCATAAAATATTTAGAACATAATATTTCAATTTCAAGCTGTGTGCACCGCCTGTCGTTGTGAAGTACTGTACTAAAACGGGCCACTCATAAAAAATGCATTTCTAGTGGTTTTTCAGTTAAACTCAGAGAATTGCAAAGTCAACTCGCAGGGCCAGTCAGTGGCAGAGATAAGCAGGATCATGACCTTGGAAACACAACCGGTTGGCGGGGGGCTGTGCGATGGCAAGATTGCTGGACTATATGATCTAGAGGAGACCCTCGGCTCGGGCCACTTTGCCGTTGTGAAGCTGGCCCGACATGTGTTCACGGGTGCCAAAGTGGCAGTGAAAGTCGTCGATAAGACAAAGCTAGACGAGGTGTCCAAAGCGCATTTGTTTCAGGAAGTTCGGTGAGCCACAAATTGCATTTGAATATTATAGCACACAGAATCTGACCAAACTTTATCTTATCTCCGCTCAGCTGCATGAAACTAGTCCAGCATCCAAATGTGGTGCGGCTCTATGAGGTCATTGACACACAGACCAAGCTATATCTGGTGCTGGAACTGGGCGATGGTGGCGATCTTTATGATTATATAATGAAACACGATGCCGGACTGAGCGAGGAACTGGCGCGCAAGTATTTCCGGCAGATACTTCGCGCGATCACGTACTGTCATCAGCTGCACGTAGTGCACAGGTAAGCATAGATTATTCATAGAAACAAACGCATACATTTTACGTAACCTTTTGCCGTGACTCGTTCAGAGACTTGAAGCCGGAGAATGTCGTATTTTTCGAAAAGTTGGGCCTCGTCAAGCTCACGGATTTTGGGTTTAGCAACAAATTCTCGCCGGGCCAAAAGCTGGAGACATTTTGTGGCAGTCTCGCATATTCGGCCCCAGAAATTCTATTGGGCGATTCATACGATGCGCCCGCCGTAGGTATGTATATCTGTGTGTGTGCGTTCGTTTATCACATGATAAGCTCTTTTTTTAATTATTGACATTATCTGTTAGATATTTGGTCACTGGGCGTTATACTGTATATGCTGGTTTGTGGCCAGGCGCCTTTTGAGAAGGCCAACGATTCCGAGACGCTGACCATGATTATGGATTGCAAGTACACGGTGCCTTCGCACGTGACACAAGAATGTCGCAGCTTAATTGCAACAATGCTGGTGCGAGATCCAAAGAAACGCGCCACTGTTGAGGAAATCGCATCATCAGCTTGGCTTAAGCAAACCGATGAGCCCGACTCTGTGGAGCATTCACTGCCACTGGTCAGCCGAGAGCAGCTAAGCGAAGAGGATCATGCCTTTATTATACAGAAAATGATAAACGGAAACATTGCGTCCAAGGAAGAGATACTGCAGTCAGTATACGGTCAAGCTTATATAAATATTTTTACTAATGCAATATTTTTATGCAGAGCTCTGGATAAAAACAAGTACAATCATATTACGGCCACATATTTCTTGTTGGCTGAACTTCGTTTGCGCCGGCGGCGAGAGGAGGCACAGAAGCAAAAGCTTCTAGAGGCTGGCCTAAAGTGAGTCGATATACGTAAACCTTTATTTATATATACATATTGCTTATCATTTAGACTGGGTGACGTTAATCGCAGGCCCGTCGCAGATAAGCCGAGTCCGACGGAAAGTCCCAAAGTAGTTGTGCCTATTAGCATTAATGTGACGCCGGCAGCACAATTTGGCAATGATAATGCCAAGCCCGTAAGTTTTCAGCATACGAACAAAAAATTGATAGCTCTTATTAATTAAATGATCTTAGGATAAGCGAACTCGCAAATGCAGTATTGTGCGGGAGGAGGACGAAGAGGAGTCCGCCAATGAGGGCTGTGGCATTGGAAATGAGCTAAAAGTGGCTTCAACGCGACGCGAGTCTATTTCCGATGGACGCCTTAATCGCTCGGTGCAGGAGCGCAGCAGTTCGTCAGCACCTGTATCAGCAGCCGATGTGCCAACAAATACTCGCACAAAGATTGTCGTGTCCGTTGATACGACGCTTGCTCAAAAGCTAAAGCAAATGGAAAAATGTGCCAAGGTGGATGAGGATACATTAAGTGGCCTAAAAGAACTAGAGATTGGAAAGCTAAAGCCATTGCCCAGCAGTAGCAAGAATCCTGTGCTGACGCATCGCCGTACAAAGTTGAACAAGATACGTACGCCGTCATGCAGCAGCTCCGAGGCATCGGACGATGATACAAAGACACGTAACAAGAAGAAGATTAACAAATTTGTTGGCGATACTCCCATCAGATTTCGTATGCATCGGCGAGACTCACATGATGACTCCAGCGACTCGCAGGATCAATTGTATCCACCACCCGGCTCCAATAGCAGCGGTGCCAATTTCATTTCAAATAGTAATTCTGGCGTGAGTGGCAAGAAGGAGGAGCAGGGACAGTATAAAGAGGTAAATCGTGCACGAGCAGCAGCAATAAGCTCATATTTAAATACATTTCTCTATCATTACTTTTCAAGCCAAATAAATCCGAGGAAACACGAAAATCTCACACACAAAAGAATAGGAAACAGCATAAGGAACATGTTGATAAACATTCCCAAGCGGAAAAACAGCAATTGGCGGTTTTAGATTGTACCACAACAACGCGAAGACGGCGCATTCGCGAAAGCCAATCCCTGGATCGCATTACAGAGGCTCAGGAGTACGAACTGCGTCACCGCAGCTATATAAATGAAGCGGCAGCCGCCGGTGGTGCAACAGCTGCGACATGCCAACAACATATCGAGCAAAGAAATTCATTATTCAATTTAAACACATTCTCAGTTGCCGAAACTAAAGAAGAATATGACGAGGAGCCCGAAATCAGGCCGGACAAAGATACCACGGACCAAATTATGAACACATTGAATGCAGCCAAAGCAACGCTACAGCAAAAGCAATATTTTAATGACAACAATTATAGTAAGAACTATAATATCTTTAATCATAACAACAACAACAACAACAGAAACAACAGTAGTAGCAGCAATAACAATAACAGCAACACCAACACCAACAAAAAGAAATCCAACGAAACACCAAAAGATATTTATAATCTAAACTCAATCGAGGAAATCGATTTGATTTTGGAAGATAAAAGCCTTACCAAAGCAATACATGTTACTGGCTCTAAATGCTTTGTTACTATGAAGAAAATTCGTAGGCTCGGAAAGTATTTTCCGGTAGTGAACTTTTCTTAATAGTTATCGTTAAAAATAGCTGCAAAGTGCATTCTAAATCTTAAAACGTAGAAAATATGTAGGAAATATGCATGTACGTGTATGTATAACAAAAAACAGAAAAAGGAAAAGCAAAAAGTTTATAAAATTACATATACGACAATTTAATATTAGCTGTAGAGTAATTTAATTTATTATGCAATCTTTAACTAGCAATAAAAAAAGGCACATTTTTTGACATTATGCTAAACTCATTTACTAATGAGAACGTTGCCTAATCTCGAAACACCATTCGCACAATTAGTTTTCGTGCATTTCCGAATAAGTGTTTGTATTCTATGGCGATAAGTGTGTGCGTACAATGTACAAACCAATTCAAATAAAGTCAATAATATAAACACCATAAAACATGTTTAGAATGACTGAAACTTGAGGGTTTCAACTTTGCGCGCCGCTTTTTGATTTATATCGATTGTGTCTCGATAATCGATAATCGAGTTCCCACCAACTAGAGATGTGCAATATACTAATTTATGAGTCATAAGTACAACTGTAACTGGTTACTTCTCGCTGCTTATGTTAAGTAACAGGTACGTGCAAGGCGCTCATCACTATTATGAAATTTTTGTGGAGAAAAAATTGAAAATAATATTTAAAGGAATATAGGCATAGTAAACTGTGTGAAAACTGTAGCCTCAAAAAGCAATAATGTTGCGCATCTATCAGAACACATACCGGTAAGCATCGCACGTGGCAATCTCAAGCCGGTGGCAATTTTCATACGCCGATTTCGTCATCGCCTCTCCCCATGTCGAATTCGCATTTGCAGGCGAACCGCAAGAAAAGCCGTTGTTTACTCCACCAAGGTGATCTGCTGCAATCATTCCACGCTATGCAACATCACCCGGCAACCTCGCCGCAACGGTGCAGGCCCCCAATGGGAGCAGCACCACAGTCGCAGTCACGAACAGTTTCTGCTTGCTGGCAACCAAGCGAGAGGCTGGACAATACCGCCCCACTCCCGCGGCTACGGCATGTTCGTGGTACGTATTCTAAGAGGCGCCCTCAAGCTGAGATACCTTGTGCTGGGCGGTGCCATTGGCGGTGGCGTTTCATTGAGCAAAGTGAGTAGAAAATCTAGCTGCCCATTGTTATATAATGTGCAAATTGCAATTGTACACGTGCAGAAATACGAGGATTGGAAGGAGGGGCTACCCGATATGAAGTGGCTAGAGGATGCACTGCCTCAGGGTGAGAGATGGAGTCAGTTCTCTCAGAATCTCATTGAAATGGGCAGCGTAGTTAAGAATGCCATTGACATCGGTGAGTTTCTCTTACGCCGGGCTTATAATCTATGCCTAATCTCTCACTTTAAATTGCCATAACAGTTAGTTGGTTAATGGGGTAGAGGGTTAAGCGAGTCTCTAACGATGCACCATAATTCGCATATACTTGTGTTTCTTAATAATTTATTCACTCGCCTGCTTTTTGACCGTTTGGTTTGATTTTGACATTTGTATTCAATACACTTCGCTGGGGCATATTGCTTGAGTTTGGCCTGAGAATGTTGTTATTGATGATATTGGGGTTTGCTTGTAGATCCGAGGCTCAAGCAGCTTGGCGAAGATAAATTGTCGGAATGGCGCTCGTGGTTCGATTCTCGCCTGGACGATGCAATTGAAGCGGCCGACTATCAAGGAAATCAAATTGTCGAAAGTAGGTTACACATTTCAAATCAATTTGCCGAACATAATGCATTTAAAGTGAGAGAATTTATGTTCGCCCAACTATTTAACTAATTATATACCTGTTTCAAACTCAATTGCAGCCAAGGAGGATATCAGGTCCAAGACAACGGTTGCAGCTCTGGGCATACCCGCAGACGAAAGTCGTAAGAAATATGGTTAGATATAGAGTTTTGATGGCATACACAATATTTATTTTACCCATTGTTTATTTTTCAGAGAAACTGCAGAGCCAAGTGGAAACGCTTCAGACTGAAATTATGAATGTGCAGATCAAATATCAAAAGGAGCTCGAGAAAATGGAAAAGGAGAATCGGGAGCTGCGTCAGCAATATCTCATACTTAAAACAAACAAAAAGACGACGGCAAAGCGAATTAAGAAATCATTAATTGACATGTACTCCGAAGTGCTAGACGAACTGTCCGGCTATGATACGGGCTACACCATGGCCGATCATTTGCCGCGAGTTGTTGTGGTCGGTGATCAGAGTAGCGGCAAGACATCTGTGCTAGAGTCTATAGCCAAGGCGCGCATCTTTCCACGTGGCAGCGGCGAAATGATGACACGTGCCCCTGTTAAGGTAACGCTGGCCGAGGGGCCCTATCATGTGGCCCAGTTTCGTGACACGGATCGTGAGTACGATTTAACCAAAGAGTCTGATCTGGCTGATCTGCGTCGCGAGGTGGAGTTCCGTATGCGCGCCTCTGTGCGAGGCGGCAAGACGGTGAGCAATGAGGTGATTGCGATGACCGTCAAAGGCCCTGGACTGCAACGCATGGTGCTGGTCGATTTGCCAGGCATCATTTCGGTACGTAAGTAAGGGATTAAATCAAAGAATCGTAATCGTAACATTGTTTCAATTATTTTTAGACCATGACAGTCGATATGGCATCGGACACCAAGGACTCCATTCACCAAATGACAAAGCATTACATGAGCAATCCAAATGCGATTATACTGTGCATACAGGATGGCTCTGTGGATGCGGAGCGCAGCAATGTCACCGACTTGGTCATGCAATGTGATCCCTTGGGTCGTCGGACAATATTTGTACTTACCAAGGTTGATTTGGCCGAGGAGTTGGCGGATCCTGATAGAATAAGAAAAATTCTCTCAGGTAAACTGTTTCCCATGAAGGCGCTGGGCTACTATGCCGTTGTCACGGGACGCGGACGCAAGGATGACAGCATAGATGCTATAAGACAGTACGAAGAGGACTTTTTTAAGAATTCCAAGCTATTTCAGTAAGTAAAAGGTATTCAGTGCATGATTGTCGCTATATCTCGATCATCTTTGCAGTCGACGCGGGGTTATCATGCCACACCAGGTGACGAGTCGAAATCTGAGCTTAGCCGTTTCCGATCGTTTCTGGAAGATGGTGCGCGAAACTATAGAACAGCAGGCGGATGCATTTAAGGCGACCAGATTTAATCTGGAAACCGAGTGGAAAAACAACTTTCCCAGGTGAGCAAAAAAGACAAGTAACAGATTTAGAAAACTTGATATTTATGGCATGCTTTTTATAGACTACGCGAATCTGGCCGTGATGAGTTATTTGATAAGGCCAAGGGCGAAATACTGGACGAAGTTGTTACACTGTCACAGATCTCAGCCAAGAAATGGGATGATGCACTCACTGCCAAGCTGTGGGAGAAACTATCGAATTATGTCTTCGAAAATGTTTACCTACCCGCTGCACAGTCAGGTTCTCAAAGTAATATTTTGTATATATAAGTATTAAGTTCTAAGCCAAGCCCAACGCTTCGATGGGGGGCAGAACCATCCACCATTTACGTGTCTGTGTTTATGTGTTAGCTGGAAATTCAGATGAGGGAATCACACGCGTAATCAGCGAAAACGAAACCAGTTTCAATTCGCGTATCTCCTTTCCTTTGAATCATGTCTTTAAATATAATTTGTGTGTACTTCCCAATTCCACTTTCATTAGCGCCATTTAATCGGGTATATTTCCAAAAAAAAGTGATTCAGCGAGTTTTTTGCTTTTATTTTTATTTCTCGGAGTCATGTGCGAATAAGGCGCGTACTTGCCGGAAAGTGTGATTTCAAGATTTACGATATATACCGAATTTCGACGCGAATCTTGCCAAGGAACACGTTTAACCCGATATTTTAATTTAAACAGCGTTAATTTGATCAATGAACACACTAAAAAGAGATTAATTAGGCAAATCTCCAGCATTGGCCGAGTTTTTACCAAATGTGTTTTTGTCGTTTTGTTGATCATTTTCGCATCTATTTCTATGCTCTATTAAACCACAGATTATCAGAGAGACTTAACTTCTGTAATGTTGTTCTTATAGATTCCTTCAATACCATGGTGGATATTAAGCTGCGGCAGTGGGCGGAGCAGGCGTTGCCCGCCAAATCGGTGGAGGCTGGCTGGGAGGCACTTCAGCAAGAGTTCATATCGTTGATGGAGCGAGCAAAGAAAGCGCACGATCACGATAATGTATTCGATCAGCTCAAGGCGGCCGTTGTGGACGAAGCCATACGTCGGCATAGCTGGGAGGACAAGGCCATAGATATGCTGCGGGTGATCCAGCTAAACACACTGGAGGATCGCTTTGTGCACGACAAAACGGAATGGGATCAGGCGGTTAAATTCCTGGAGAACTCTGTTAACACCAAGCTGGTGCAAACCGACGAAACATTGTCCCAAATGTTTGGACCCGGACCGTGGACGCGTTTCGCGCACTGGAAGTCGCTTACGCAGGATCAGCAAAAGCGACGCAGCGTCAAGGGTGAACTGGACAAAATACTCAAGAATGATGTGGTGCGTATGGCCAAGTAAGTTGAGTCCTTAAACTATTCAAGAAGTTTTTTATTGTAGAAACATTTACCCAGCCTAAGTTACGATGAGCTGACAACGGTGCGCAAGAATCTGCAGCGGGATAACGTAGAGGTGGACACGGATTATATACGTCAAACATGGTTCCCAGTCTACAGAAAGTGCGTAGCTCACATTATCATTTGAAAGCACTTTTCTTATTTAGATCCTTTGATTACCATTAGACACTTTCTGCAGCAGGCGTTGCAGCGGGCGAAGGATTGCCGCAAAGCGTACTATCTGTACACGCAACAAGGCGCCGAGTGTGAGGTATGTTTATGCTAGGCAATAATCTTTCCAAGCCTTGCATAATAATCCTCTCTGGTCTCCACAGGTTTCCTGCAGTGATGTGGTACTCTTCTGGCGCATACAGCAGGTCATCAAGGTGACGGGCAATGCGTTGCGACAGCAGGTTATCAATCGGGAGGCGCGACGCCTGGACAAGGAGATCAAGGCGGTGCTGGATGAGTTTAGTGACGATGAGGAGCGGAAAGCTCACCTGCTCACAGGCAAACGGGTGCAGCTGGCCGAGGAGCTAAGTAAGTAGATATTCCCGCGTGTACTTGAGAATATTCTAAACGCATTTCTTGCAGTTAAAGTACGACAGATTCAGGAGAAACTGGAGGAGTTCATTAATTCATTGAATCAGGAAAAATAGGCTATATGGTGTGCCATGACCAAAGACACAACTGCGTTATCTATTTAATGTTTTAATTTAAGCTCAAAAACAACAAAACAAAACGAAACGTTTATAATCACAGTCACGACTTGTTCATAACGATTTTCCTTATTGTTTAGTTATTACGCTTATTTTGTGCAGCAATGAGTAATAAAGGATTGTTAGTTTGTATTTAAAAACAAATGCGTTTCATTAGGCACTTTTGTATATTCTTGCAAGGATCAGACAACCAAATTCCAAGGATAATTGGGCCATCTTTAAGAGACTATGAGTCTACTGTCTATGAGAATATTAAGGTGGAAATTACCAATGTTTAATAAAAGTTTTATAGACACGAATAAAGAATCACTTCTATAGGAATTCTACCAGGAAACAAATATTTGAATGAACAGTATATAGTTCCAGTCAATTTCTCAATTTTCGCTCCTGTAAAGGTTTTTGTTTTAGCATAGTATCTGAGCTCGTAAAGAATATATGGAATATATATATAGGAAACGTGGAATTCTAAAGTTAATCAAAATGTAGCTAAAAATGAATAGTTATCAGTCTGTAATCAATTTATAACTTGATATAGAATATATTTTAAAATAAAAACGCATATTTTTAAATTTTGTAAATTACCTAAATGTTGTTTTTTGTTTGTTGTAAAATGTATATAACTGTTAAATAAACTAGATAGATAAAAGATAACTACTCGTATAGTCTGCTGTGTTGTTTTCTTCTCTTCTTTTTCTTATAGTATATATATATACTATATAGTATATCAGTTAATGTTTTTACATAACTTGCTTGAGTATGTGTATAACTATCTATCTGTATGTGTATATATATTTAGATGTGTGTGTGCCAGAGCAACACACATTTTCCAGGTTTTGTTTGTTTTTCATAATCAGCCAACGAGGCGTTCTGAAGTTGGATTTGGATAGTTGGGTGCAATGACCTCAACAATAACAACAACAACAACAACAACAACAACAGCAAGGTGTGTGTGTGTGTGTGTTTGGCTTACAAACTAGAACTTAGATATGTACAAACTATGTAACAAGTCTGGAGCAGTAGCTAACAATTTAGTTAGTCGAACTTATTGAATTAAACAAATGCAACGTCCTCATCTCTTAAATTGGCAGTCGAATTGTGGCCCAGCCATGTGCTCAGCTGCTAAATATGATATATATATATCATCATCATCATCGTTATCATCATTATGCTCATCATCATCTTAGTTTTCCGGCACACCCATCAACATGGTGAGTACTTAAGATTGAACATGTTATATATGTGTTATAGTATATGTAGAAAAAATGTTTAGTTACAAATTGATCAATCTATAATAAATAAAGCTTGATCTAGGCATGTACTGTGTGTGTGTGTGTGTGTGTTGGTGTGTGTTTAGATTGAGGCGAGGCACTCGATAAAGCAAAAGGCACAAACATTACACTTAGACTAAGGCTACCTAATCTAGATCTAGACAAATACGACATATCAAGTACATGCTTCAAGCATGTTCGCTTTTCGCTGCTTCTTCAGTTACTTTTTCAGCTGGTTTTTCAGCTACTGCTACTGCTTCTTCTTCTCAACTGCTGTTCAACAAGATCGAGTGATTGGCAATTAGTGTTAAACTAACCACTTAATGGGACAAATGGAGCGTTATCATTTATTGTCGCCTGGGTTCTTTTTTTTGCTGCTGCTGCTACCATTTTTTAGGCCGTGGGCAGCGGCTCGTGCTTGGCATTGCGCCGCTGCTCCCAGTTGGAGATGTAGGTCAGCGGATAGCACAGGAAGGCGGACAGCAGGATGAGGCCGCCGGCAAAGTAAAAGGCCACATTGTAGCTATTGGTGGCCGCATACAAGGCGCCTGCAATGAGAGAGTGGAAGAGAGATGAGCAATCCATTTGGATTCACTTTCGTTCCATGTTGACTTACCCGCTATGGGACTGCCGATGGTGGCGGCGAGACCTTGGAAGAGCATCAGGAAGCCGAATGCATTGGTCAGCTTGTCCAGGCCAATCAGCTCGACGGCAATCAGGGAGCGCAGCGCCGAGAAGCAGGCAATGCATATGCCAAAGAGCACAGCGAACGACCATTGGGTGGTGGCATTGATGACCACGCCGCTGAAGATGGTGGCCAGGCCGCCGGCGGTGAGCGCGACATTGTTGAGCCACAGCGGCTTGACGCTGGGGAAGGAGCTCATCGAGCCGCAGACAATCCTAGCGATCGTGTTGATCATGCCAATGCCGGAAATGATGGAAACAGCCGAATCCTTGTCCATGCCGCCGGCGACGGCGCGATCCGTCAGAAAGGAGAAGGGCACAAAGAAGCCCATCATGGTCAGGAAACCGCTGAAGGCCAGGCACATGAAAGCCGGCGACTTGAGCAGGCTGGTGTCCAGCATGGTGGAGAGCGTGCGACGCACGGCCTCCGGACAGATGCGGCATCCCTTCTGTCTGTCCTCCAGCATATCCTGCTTGGTGGGCAGCCGAGTGACGGACATGTGGTAGGCTAGCGAGGTCTGCGACTGGTATTGCGGTATGCGTGTCAGCGAGCCCGTAAAGAAGATGTCATCTCTGTACATGGGACGCGACGAGGACTGCGACTGGCCCGGATGATGGGCCTGCTCATGGGCGCCGCCAGCGCCGCGCTTGGCCAGATCCTGTGGCCGACGGCCCGACACGGTGTGCCGGCGCGCTTGTATGCTGGCCGGCTTGGCCTCCGTCTCCAGCAGATTATCGTTCTCGGCCTCCTCCTCGTTCTCGCCCACGGTGGTCAGCTCCTTGTGCAGATTGAAGGTCAGCTGCTGTGGATCTCCATTGGGCGTGGTTGGCTGTGACTTGCGCAGCTGCTTCAGCTCGGTGCCCTTGCTGGCCTGGCCCGATGGTCGACGCTCCAGATTCATGCCCTTAAAGATCTCGGCCGCCGTCGGGTAATGATGACGCTGCGAGGCGCCCATGTAGGTGTTGTGCGCCGAGTTGGGCATCGAGTAGGCGAAGCGACCCTCCGGCAGCGGCTTCGTGAACGCCGCCTGATGCAGCTGCGGTGTCGGAGCCACCGTATTGCCGTGGCCATTCAGCTTGGTCTTCTCCTCGTCGTCGATGACAGTTCCGTCCTTGGTAACGCCCAGCGTAATGGGCTGAATGGGACGGAAGGCGAGGCCAAAGACGGCGCACGACAGGATCATCAGTCCCTGTATGGCCAGCGTCATGCGCCAGCCGGTCTTCTGGAGCAGCACTTCGGTCAGCGGGGCAAAGACAAAGGTGCCCACGCCGGAGCCGCAGAGCGCTACACCCGTTGCCAGTGCGCGATACTTCTCAAAGTAGAAACCAATGATGACCACGGCAGGTATATAGACCATGCAGAAGCCAATGCCGCCCAGCACGCCATACACGATGAACAGGAACTCCACACTGGTCGCATAGTACGAGAGGCCAAAGCAGATCGAGGCAAAGATGGCGCCGGCAATGGTCACCGGACGGAAGCCAAAACGATTGGCCAAGGCGCTAACAAACGGACCGGCCATCAGATAGCAGCCGCTGAGCAGCGAGGAGACGAAGGTCACATAGAACTTGCTCACATGGAACTCGTTGATGAGGTCATTCTGAATGATGGCCGAGCAGAAGACGATGCCGTCGATGACCGTGCAGCAGAGGAAGGAGGCAACCATTACCACCCAGGCCCAGCCGCTATCCGGCGGCACCACAACCGCTGCCGTATCAATATCCTCTTCCTCCTCCTCCTCGCCAGCGTCCGCTTCCGGCTTGTTAGCCGGATGCTTGGACACGAGCGCATTGGCCGCCGCCAGCTCGTCCTGCGATCTTGTATGCTGCGTGGGCATTGCCTAGCTGCAAAATATATACATATATACTATATTAATATACTTATTAATAATGAATGTCGCGATATAATTGTTATGCGAATGTATATTTATCAGCTCGCCCACACAAATATTCGCGGGCAACCTTCACACAGATTGCGCATACGCCCCCTTAAACGCAAATCGGCTTTCCCTTTCAATATATATACTATATGTGCCATATTATATTTATAATTAGTCACGTGTGGGTTCTCTTGCGTATTTATCGTGCATTTGTAGCTGTAAATGTGGCTGTTAATGTTAATGTATCTGTATCTATAGCTGTTCTGTATCTGTATTTGTATCTGTATCTGTATCTGTATCTGTATCTGTATCTGTATCTGTATCTGTATCTGTATCTGTATCTGTATCTGTATCTGTATCTGTATCTGTATCTGTATCTGTATCTGTATCTGTATCTGTATCTGTATCTGTATCTGTATCTGTATCTGTATCTGTATCTGTATCTGTATCTGTATCTGTATCTGTATCTGTATCTGTATCTGTATCTGTATCTGTATCTGTATCTGTATCTGTATCTGTATCTGTATCTGTATCTGTATCTGTATCTGTATCTGTATCTGTATCTGTATCTGTATCTGTATCTGTATCTGTATCTGTATCTGTATCTGTATCTGTATCTGTATCTGTATCTGTATCTGTATCTGTATCTGTATCTGTATCTGTATCTGTATCTGTATCTGTATCTGTATCTGTATCTGTATCTGTATCTGTATCTCTATCTCTATCTTTAGCTATGGATATATGTATGCTTAGCTTTTGTTTATTTCAACGACGTCAATTGTTGTGTTGTGTGTGTGTGTGTTTGTGTGTGTGTGTAGGGGGGGTGGGCGTTTATAGAATGGGGGTGGGTGTCAAACGTCAACGTCCTCCTCCAACTCATTTTCAGTGCCAGTGCCAATGTCAAGCAAACGACAACAACAACAAACTGCGTCAAAAGCTGCTTAAAACAATCGCAACGAAAAAGCGAAAACAATTTAGCAAAAAACATTTATAGAATTTTCAATAATTATGCGCCCAGCTTGTCCGTCAATTTTCCAACAATTTTCTCAGACAAACAATTTGGCATTCTTATTTTTTAATTTTTTAAAAATGTTTTTTTAGCACTTGTTTTCTTTGCACCCGCTAAAAAGCGAACGACCTTGATGCTTTATTTTTGGGCTTATCTAATCTGCTGCTGGATCTGGATGCACGGGCTATTTGGCTTATGGCTGCCATAAACTGAAATATACTGCAACATTTTGTTGCGACACATTTATTTGGCTTACAAAATGTTGGTTCTGTCCGCCAAAATGTGCTCAAATGTTCGCTGACTTTTGGCCAGACTTCTATTATATATAATCAGGCTAGAGATGAATTTGTTGGGCTTACAAAAGGTTTTAATTGTTTTAATCAAAATGAAATATCATAGGGATGAGATGTGTGCTATATATGATGGTCATTTCCATAAAACTTGTTGCCAGGCTGTCAAGAATTTTCCTCAGCTAGTTCCACAATAATTTACAGACATTAAGCCGAAGCGAGCCCTGATTCCAGTTTATATATTAACTTTAAAGGCAAACCCCTTGTTAAACTCAAATCAAAAACAATTATTTTAGACTAGAATTAAGCTGGTCCTAAAGCATAAATTACCTTAACTCCAACAATGGGACTTGTCTGAGCATTTTTCGCCAGATGCCAATTTTGGATAGAGTTCAAATATAGCCCGAATCATGTATATGAAAATATTTAAGTTATTCAATAAGTTCAGAACAAAGGGCAATTTTGAATTAAAAACTAAATTGTTTGATCAAATCTTATCAAAATATGTGAAGCAACAACGTGTGTTCAAGCTTTACGAAGCGAACCAGCCAGCTGGTTCAAACTGTAAGCATTTCCGACTTTCGACTCGCTTGCTATTTAACACGGCCATATGCTTACATATATGATTTATGCTATATACATTTTATATAGATACGAGGTCCTGATACGAACCAATCCCTATAATCCATCCATATAAAGCTAGACAAGTTCCTATCTCTGGGCAGATAGGCGAAGATTTACGATGCCAGAGATTTGTTTTATATGCAAATTAACAAGCACTTCATAAAAATGAATTATTCGAATAATTTAGTGCACACGACAACCCTGAACCGTTTTTTATTGCCTGGCAACCCCGGACGTAGGTTTTTTTTAAACAAAAAAAGAAGAAAATAAAACCTGGCGATTAGCTGCTGATTAGAGGATTGTAAATAGTTTACTGTCTGCTCGTAAACTGTGGCAAATATTATAAATACCCTAAAATTGTGGGACGTGCGGCGTAAATCAATTGATTTGACCAGATTTGCTTTTGGCCAACTATTTGGGTGCAGATAAGACGACCTTAGCCGGATTTGTGGCCCTATCGGCGTCGCATACATGATAAAGCCTCAGCCACTTGGCAACCCGCTTGGCATGTGACTTTTCGTCCAATAATATTCGATTATTTGATTTCCTTGATTATTGTTGTCGACGGTTTATGGCCTGCCATATATATGCATATATACAAGTCCGTTCGTCTTTAACACTTTTGTTTATTATGCAATATTATTATTATATTGAAGAGCGGGTCTCGTATTTCATGTGCCCAATGGCCAGCCCAGAAGTGGCCGGTCGCCCCTAGGAAATGGCTCAGCACATTGCGCAAACTGTGCCCAAAGAAGCCGGTCAAGTGCTTCGACTTCGGCTTCGTCTTCGGCTTCTGCTGGGCTCTTGACTGGCCGTGCAGCTATCCCAACTATAAATAGAGCCCGTTGTCAACTTGTTGAACGAAATCGAACCATTTGTGTTATTTTGTACCAAGTACTAACCACTTGTGGACAGCCGGGCACGCCCAGTTCCTCGTTTCAGACAATTGCCCATTGCCATTCCAATGCACCAACTTGCCGAATACCCTCTAATCAAACATAATGTGCTGTCGAGAAACTTGTTCTCAAACAATTTCTTGCCTAAAAGATACACTAAGAGAATAGCGTAGAGTTTTGTACTTAAATCTTGAAAAGAAAATTTGTATCTGACAAGAACTTTTGTAAGAGTCGAAATTTACACTTGAGTAAAAGACATAAATAAAGCACTTAATTTAATTTCAAGAAATGCTATGCTTATTTTAAGCATAAAAGTTTTTGATATAATTATTTTGTATTTTTGCTGTTGTAAAACTTAAGTAGCCATTTTTCCTGCCTCAACTTACACAAAATAAACAAAATTTTCCATTTTTCCATTGTTTAGCTTAACTCTCTTTACAGGGCATCTGCTAGTCGTGCAACTGCAGAAGAGACAGGCTCGTTTTCTTATTTGCTTTGCCCTGCCGCACGTTTATGTCATTTGTACAGCAGACAGTAGATAGTTGTGGCCTGGAGCTGTTATCCTTCGTCTGGTTGTAAGCTAATCCCGCTGTGCGCAAACACAAGCGCCGATCCATCAACTGAGCCCCTCCCCCATCTCGCTCTCCCCCTTCCTCCACTTATACACACTCTGCCCCTCGTGCCCCTCGCTGCTGCTGCAGTGGCGTCTACCGAACAGTTGTCAGCGCCAATTGCGACTGTTGACAGCTCCTAAATTGATGCCCGTCGATTGAATTAATAAATATTATAGGTAAAAACATATGGACAACGGGAGAGAGACAGAGAGAGAGAAAGAGAGAGAGAGAGAGAGAGAGAGAGAGAGAGAGAGAGAGAGGAGAGAGGGAAAAAGAAGCGTATTCATGTTGTCTTTCCTGTTGCTGGTTATTCCTTTTAGCATAACTATGCGTACACATGTATCTGTATCTGAATATGTATATGTATCTGTATCTTTAAGTGTATCCGTATCTTTAAATGTATCTGTATCAGTGTATCTTTGTAGTATCTGTATCTGTAAATGTATCTGTATCTTGTATCTTTGTATATGTGACCATTTCTGTATCTGTATCTGTGTTCTGTTTGTTTGCGTATCTCATTTATATAACATGCGTTTGTACATGTCCGGCCGTCTTTTCCGTCCATCTTTGCTTTACCTTTTAATTCTTTATAGCTACATGTGGCATGTGTCTGCGTGCATAAGTGTGTGTGTGTGTGTGTTTAGCCACATTGTGCAGCGATCATTAAACGATTTTCTGCTCAAAATATTAATTAGCTGACGCTTCTGTGCTGGCGGGAACGGCAACCTGTTGTCTGCAGCCAAATAAGGCAACAAACAGCAATTGCTTTTTGGCCCAAACGAATGGCTAATTGAGTGAGCGCCACTTCAAATAGTTGGCCCAAATTCTGTGAAACACTTTAAACAACTGTCGCTCGTGGCTGTTGTTGTAGTTGTTGCTGGTTTGCTTTGAAGTTCATTGAACGGCCTTTCACCCAGGCCCACACCCAAACCCAGACCCAGACCCAGTTGGAGCCCGTCTGAATTATAGCCCACAGTCCATGAGTCACGCATGCGCAACCGAAGTGCAGAAAGTTGGGGAAAATAACATTTGGTTAATTTTGAATGCCATGTGTCTCGAATTGAACAGAACTTTTTAACATAAAAGAGAGATTGTAAGCTTAAGAGAACCAAAAATTGTAAATGAGAAAAACTCTTAATGAACTAAAGCTCTAAAGAACTAATTATCACAAACGAAAGATCTTAAGCTTTTCATAAATAACCTTATCTTTAGTTTAAGAGAACTCAATTAATTTATTTGATAAGTTTATTTCCATGGGATCGCCCAAAGCAGATAAGCAAATATTTCTTTTATAGAACAGTCAAAAAAGGAAAAACCTCGTTTTGTTATCATATCTAGGCTCATATCTAATTCTTATTCAAAAAAAAACCTTATTAATTTTTTTTCAATAAACCTTTTGGCTTAAATCTTGCATATAATTCGAAGCGTCAAGTTGGACTATATCATTTTTGAATAATAATCAATATACATTTCCCTTAATGTAAATGCTTGCATTCGAGCATCTTAGGGCAAAAGTCCAACTCTGTCTGCAAGTGTATTTAAACTTTGGAACACGTAAGATAAGTTCTTCATCTTGTTACAGCTGTGGCATAGATTATACAGGCATTGTTTATAAAGTTGATATAGCTTGCATATATGTTATGTATACTATATAATATAGTATGGCATGAAGCAGAAGTAAGACGCACTTTATCAGCTATTGTTGCTGTTGCTGTCGGCACTATCGGCATGAACAAAGGCTTGTCAGGCCTCTGTGTGTGCTGGCCAGTGTCAATGAACAATTAGTGGAGCGATCAATGGTCGCCCGGGTCTATGGTAGAGCCCGAACCCGAACCCGAACCCGAACTGCAACTGGAACCCTCCCAAAATATATAGCCGAGCGCTCTTTGTCGGAAGTGGAGCATGCGATTCCAAATCAATTAACATGTTCAAATTATGGAAAATACAACGAAAAGTCAGCAATTATTGAGGAAGCTGCATTTGAGAGCGAGAGAGAGAGAGATAGAGGGAGAGAGAGAGAGAGGGGGAGGGAGAGAGAGAACTGATTTACAAGTCCGTTTGTGTGCATATAAAAATCAATTATTAATTGGGTTATCTGCACGTGCCCAGTTCAAGCTGTAACTAGGCACAGATACAGCTACAGCTACAGATACATTTACAGACACAGCGACAGATACAGATACAGATACGGCTGCTGAGTTACAGATACAAGTGGAAATTCGTGACCCGATCGCATTGACATTGGCGCCAAAATGCTTTCGAAATTGGAAACCGAATCTGATAACAAATGCGCAAATATAAATATATATATATAATATAAATATTGAAACAAAAACAAGACTAACTGCAGTTGCATTCTAAAATTGTCGTCCACATTATCAAAGCTATCAATCAACAGCTCGGCAGCATCTGCAGCTCGGCCATAATCAGCTGCGAATATGTAAATATTTTCTAACTGATTAACGCTGTTTTTTTCATTTTCCATAAGCTGTGGAAAGATTTTCTGTGCTCAATTCCAAATAGAAAAAAAAGGTACCACACGCAAACGCATTCGGGCATATCCAATAAAAAAAACCTCTAAAAAACCGCAAACCTCAGTTATTTGGCAATGAATGACTGACTGACGGACGGACTGACGGACTGACGGACTGACGGACTGACTGACTGACGGACTGACTGTCTGTCTGCGGTGCATTGTGAATGCGAAAAACTTGTTTACAGCACATAAATAACTCATATAGTATATATATTAACAATCTTTAGTTATTTAAACATATTCCATTCCATTTGCTGCTTAGCCTAGTTAGCCTTTGCTTTTGCTTTTAATTAATCAAACTATTTGCCAACAACAAGCCACACAGCCGCTGCTTTAAACGTAATCAGGCGTCTTGGCCAATTCGGGTCAATATCTGAATCATCTGAATCATCTGACTCAGTTTCAGTTACAGCTCCGACGTCATCTCCGACAGTTCTAATGCTTCTTAAGCTCGTGCCCATGTCATATGTTGGTTTCAACTTTAGGCTAATGCCGAGGCAACAGTTGCCAAGTGGGTTGCTATTGATATATGTATATACATATATATATCCAACTAGATATCATCTATTAGTATTCTAGTATTCTAGCTGCATAATAATCCATTTCATAAGAGATTTACTTGATTTCGAGCTTTCTTTTTGTGCTCATAGCTAAGGAACCTGCCTAAGGATCTAAGTTCTATGATCTTAGGGTATTTGAGCACATCTTGAATATTATAAGTATTATAAAAGCTAAAGCTTATGTGAGTCAGCTTCTAATATATTGATCTCTTATAAATAAACTTATCGAAACTCTATCTTAAAGTCTCGTTATTGGCTACAGGGTATCTGCTAGTCGCACCCAAGGCAACTGTATCACTTTTACTTATTTGTCTTTATCTTCAAGTATTCTCTTTATTATAATTGCATCCGCATCTTGATATGATTTCAAGCATTCACTTTTTTCTGCGACATTATCTAGATGTGCTTTATCTTTGAGTATTTCAACATTTGTTTTCCTCTATTCGATTTTCATTCACAAATTTATCAACTTGAAATTGATCAAAATGAAATGGTTAATACAGTTAATTGTTTTTGTTTTTTTTTTTTTTTTTTTGTTTTTTTCTGCAACCCGTTTATGCAAATGATATAGTCGAGTTAACAATAACGGATCAAGCTGCAGTTGACTTTTTTTTAAGGCAAAAACCAAAGGCCAAGAAGTTTTCGCGAGAGATCAAAGCCAGAGCAGAAGGCCTTGAACAAATGCCAACATATTTAGTTTCTTTTTGTTTTTTGTTTTTTTTTTTTCTTCCAGTTTGCGCCGCATTGATGGGCCTTCGACAGGTGAGTCAGCAGATAAAGTGTAAGAGGAAGGTCGGAAGGGTGTGTCGCACTATTTTATTTCATTTCTGTTTATTTTTGTCCAATTTTGTGGGTTTTCCCCAGTTTTTCTTTCTTTTTTTTTTTTTGGTTTAATTTGCATGGTAATTGCGGCTGCAATTAAGATAAATGCGGATTGCTCGAATCGGTTCTTGCAGATACATTTGCATAACTATACGCAAAAGTATCTCGATTCGTGTTTTAAGTGCAGGCTTATTATCGATCGATTCTTAAGCTGATTTTCTTCCGTTGTTGTTCAAGTTCAGGAAAGACGGGAAAACAGAAAACATAAAAATAAAACAGCAAAAACAGCATCGAAAGAACGTCAGCGAAATACGCCCATAAAAGGCACTCGAAAGCCGTTTACGTGTTAACGTGTTTCTGGTACCCGATTCCTGGTATTGCCAACATGATGAGTCTTCAGGCAAAAGGCCAAAAGACGCAGGCGGCCACATAAAAAAAAAAAAACAAAAAAACATATACATATATATTTTTTGTATCTTCTTTTAAGTTAGAACATTAAAATTGTGACTAAGGTCCCGGCCGGTGTGCGCCGCGTCTCTCAATTGGAGTTTGTTGGCAGACGGCGCGACGTGTGTTTGTTTCTTCTTCTTCTACTACTCTTTTAGCCAAAAAACTCGTTTCTGGCCGCGCCAGGGGCTGGGCTGTGCGACGGGGCGCGGTCATGTGACACAAGCATAATGCCAAGTCTTTTTAGCCATTCATCTGTATCTGTATATTTAGCTGGCCGCGTGTGCGAGTGTGTGTGTGCGTGTGCGCGTGTGTGCGCGTGTGTGTATATGTGTGTGTGTGCGTGTTGGCCCTCTTGTGCTTACCTTTTGATGTTGACGATGTTGTTGTTGCTGCTGTTGTGTTTGGCGTGTTGCGGCGTCTGTTGCAGCTTTCAATTTGTTAAGAAACCAAAAAAAACGGTTTCGTTTAGATTGGAACCCGGCCCGATGGCTTTTTCGATTTTTTGGGCTATTTCTGGCGCCCGATCGTGGGCAGTGCAAAGAATTTCTTATGCGAGAAAGCGAAAGCAAATGTGAACGCAGCGCACAGCAAAAAAAGCGAAAGTTAACTGTAAAAAGCGCCTCAATTTAGAAACTGAACTGAACCGAACGCAAGACGAAGAAGAGGAGAGCGAACGCGCTTATAAATACTTCTAGTATATGTATCTGTATCTGATTATCTGTAGCGGTTTAGCAGCTGTTCGTACGATCCCCGTGTGCTCTTGTGTGTGTGTGTGGTGTGTGTGTGTGTGTCTATATGTATTATACTGCATATGTGTGGCATATGAAATGTGCGACCTGCCTCCGAATGCGAAAGGCACGCGTTTCAATAAATTCGTTGTGATTCGTAAAATGTGTACACATATATACATATACTTATTTATGTATACATATATATTTATTCAATTCTATTCTATTATTTTTGTTATTCTGTTTTTGTGTGTTTTAAGCTCTTGTTTTGATATTCTGTTCTCAGCGGCGCTTTGGCCTTTTTTTTTTGCGTATTGATCGCGCGCTTACCGACCGATCCGAGCGACTGACTAAAGATAACTAAAGGGAAATGGAAATGTGTTGGCAGTATAAACCACAAAGCAGAAAGCAGCACCAGCAGCACGACAGCAGCAGCAGCAGCAGCACCAACAACACTCCGTCCGCACAAGCAGCACAAAAACAGTACGCAGCAGGCTGCTTCGCGATACGAAGGCACCTTCACACGAGAACTCACACACATGCGCACAGCCGAGGCGTGTATTTGTATTTGATGTTTGCTTGTGCGAGTGTTTGTATTTGCTTTTACATTGTTGTTGTTGTTGTTGTTGTTCGTGCTTGTTCGCGCGTTCTTGTAAACGCACATTATCAGACAACACAGAACCGCCGCGCTGCGCCTCGCCTCGCACCGCCCACCCACTTGACTTGCTCTATCCGCTACGTTATCGTTCATGCGGCGTCGTGAATGAAAATGACACAACAACAACAACAACAATAGCGCCAGCGTCAGCCAGCATTAAAACAGTTACAACAACAACCGGCGAAACTACAAAAACATGGCGTGCTGCCCATGTCTAAGACGCTGCGCATGTGTGAGTGTAACTGCAGCAGTGTGTATGTGAGTGTGGTAGCCTGTGCGTAGGGTACGAACTTGCTCACGCCAAATTGCTGAGAGTGTAAGCTCACACACGCTCACTTACTCTCTCACTCACTCACACACACACACACTCTCTCTCTCTCTCTCTCTCTATTTTGACATACGGCCACTCTTGTTGTCGCCCTCGCCCTCGCTATCGTCTTTGCGCTCGCCATACAAAATGGCCTGCCAAAAAAGAAAAAAAAAACAACAACAAGCGCGCACACACATTGTACGTATACGCAATGCGATTTCGATACCGAAATCAATCTTGTTGTTGTTGTTGTTTGTGTTTCTTCTTTCAGAACTCTACAAATTTCGATGCTCCTCTTTGACTTTGTCGATGGCTCATTTTTTTGTTTCTTTTTAAGTTCTTATTTTAAAGTTTCGTTTCACAGAAAATAAGAAGTTTTTTTTCTTCTTGAATACGAGGCGTGTTTGCCTGTTTGCCCGTTTGTGTTTATATTTGTATTCGTAATTATGGTAGTGTGTGTGTGTGTGTGTGTGTGCTCTGGCTTTTTCCACTGACAAGATATTTTGAATGAGATCCATTCACGTTTTCGGGCTAAAATTTATCTTCTTTTTTTTTTTATTTTGTCGTTAACAGTTTACCGGCATATGACACACACACAGACACTCCTTTTGGGCGCAATAATTTGAAATAATTACCAGAAATTATGAAATAGTTTCAAACTATAAACTCCGAGCCAAATTAACTGTGGGCTGGCATGATTGGGCATAAAATAGATCTGCAAAAACGCAAATCACGCGAATTCGGAATTGGAATTGGAATTCATTAAGCGTGCTATGAACTTCAAATAAGAGCTCTTTCTTTTTTTTTTTAGGAGGAGGGGGGGGGGGGGGGGGGGGGGGGGGGGGAATTATGCTTATCGCATGGCATACTTTTAATTTGGTTTTGGGCAATTCTCGAAATTTCTGCGCAATAATTATGCATTCGACTGTGAGCCTATCACATATATATGTATATGGGCATTTTAATGCCATATCGTGTCTGGCACGTGACGCGGAGAGCCAAATCTAAAAGCCTATCAACTTGTTGAATACGCTTTCGGCAATTTTCAGTTATGATTGATAAGCCGCAGGGCCAAGCCAGAAAAAACAACAACAACAACAACAAGAACAAATCTTTTGGCTGCAATGACAAATGCCCAAAAATTGTTCGAATATTAAATTAGATAAGCATATTAATTTGCCTTCAGCTGTGGCAGACAGAAAATACCCTCGGAAATACCAGGCAACTATCCAACTAGATATATTCGGCAAATAATAATATGAAAAACCATTAAAGAAACCAATCGAATTTGATTGAGTACTTTTCCATAGTACAATCTGAATTTAAACGGAAATTTGTTTTTTTTTTTTGTTAAAATTGATAATATCAAAATATAAATGGAAGGCGGAAGTTAAGGCAAGCAGCAAAGTTTCAAGAATAATAATAATAATATTATTATTTTTAGAGTAGTCTGCACGTTAATTGCAAACATCTCGCTCGCTTCTTCTTCTTGTGCACCTGCAAGGAGGCTCTGGTCGCAGTTTCGAACACCTCGCGCACACCCTCCTGCATTTTGGCCGAGCATTCGAGATAGGCAAATGCATTGACTATTTCGGCCATGGTAAGCCCCTCCTCGGCCGTGACGGTGTGCTGCTTTTGCATGGATAATTCCTGAAAATGAACGAGCCTGCTTTGTAGCTTCAATGTCAATGTTAGCTTGGATCGGAGCACTTGCCTTTATGGTGTCGGGATCATGGCGCAAGTCGCGCTTGTTGCCCACCAAAATGATGGGCACATTCGGACAGAAGTGCGTCACTTCGGGTATCCATTTGTCCTGTATGTTTTCCAGCGAATCCGGCAGATCGATGGAGAAGCACATGACAATCACATCCGTATCGGGATAGCTTAGCAGACGCAAGCGATCGTAATCCTCCTGCCCGGCTGTGTCCCACAGCGCCAGTTCCACCTTGAAGCGAGCAGAAATCCATTATTATAGGCAAATGTACAAATATGTATGTATGTATGTATGTATGCTGTTGCCCCATAAAAGCAACAATTATTTAAAAAGCACTTGAGCACCGAGCTGCTGCTCCAGAAATGAACAGCGAATGCGAACAACCTCGACGTGATTCATGCGAGGAAATGGGGGCCCAGCCTGGGGCAGGCACGTAGTGCGAGTACTAAAATAAGATCTGTACTAAATATCGCACAGTATACACACACACACACACACACACACATATGCATACATATAAATAAATAAGTGCGTGCAATTGTTAGTGCATATTTGCAGCATTGCTCATGCACAGAAACAAAGGCGCAATTGTTGGCAAATACGTAAATAGTTGTGCAAACCTGTGATCCTTCGACTTCCACATCCGCAACATATGTTTCGAATACTGTCGGCACATAGTCCAAGGGGAAATTGTCTTTGCAGAAGACAGTCAAGAGGCAGGTCTTGCCACATGCCCCATCGCCTACAATTACCAGTTTCTTGCGAATGGAACTCATTATATTAATAACCAATTGAAGGCACTAGAAAAACAATTGTTTTGGTTTTTTTTTTTTAACTCTAAACGTATGACTGAAGGAAATGCTGTTTGCCAAGGAACTGTGCGTTTGTTTAGTGATTGCGGCGATGTGAAATACCTATTTTGTTTATGAATACTGCGCTACAAAGAAAATACCATGGCATATGCATCTGCCAATGAAGTGCTTTACTGCACTTTGTATAAACTTATTCTTATTCTTAAGTAGACACAATAAGTTAAGTAAACTAAATAGAAATCCTAGTAACAAAATGTGTCAAACATTTGTAGGGTAGCTAATGTTCGAATAACAGTTACGTTCATGTTGTAGTTTGATGGGCAGCACTTTGGCACAGAGTTGTTCACGTAAATTGGCAGTTCCGAAAACTATCGTACCACAAATGTTGGCATTTCGATATATCGATATCATATTATCAGCCCTACAAAAATTGCAAAGAAGAAGAAGGAAAAGGCTCTTCCTCTTTCTTTTATTTCCGCCATTGCCTGAGATAGTTGGAAAAATATGGGTGAGTCGTTGAAAAAGAGTGTATTTTGTGAGAAATACGCAAATTGCGTCGTTAAACAAAGTGCAAATCGAATTAAAATAGTTCTGCAATAGCAAGTGTAAGTGAATTTAAACGCACCGGCGCTTTTTTATGTTTAAAACCTCGCTCTCTCTGAAAACTTGCAAAACTTCGGCTGCAATTTCTTAGTTGCCCAAAATCCATTAATACCAAAAGAATCGTGCAATATTGTATGTCAAACGATTGTTTAACATGAAAACTAACATGTAGCACAACTATTGCTAGTGTTATTTGTGAAAATTTTTGCACACAACGCGCAATTCACAGTGACGTATTCAAACTAACCTAAAAGTGCCGCCGCTGCAACGGCTATTTGTTTACATTGTGTTTGTTGTTTTTGAATTTGCTATAATCTAATTTAACTAATTAAACGCAATATTGTTGTAATTAACAGGCAAGCCTAGAGGTCTGCGCACTGCCAGAAAGCATGTGAACCACCGTCGCGACCAGCGTTGGGCCGACAAGGACTACAAGAAGGCTCATTTGGGCACCAGATGGAAGGCCAATCCCTTCGGTGGTGCATCCCACGCCAAGGGTATTGTGCTTGAGAAGGTGTAAGTAGATGCTTTATTCATTTATTGTTATTTTAATTTGAAGCCAACGCATTCGATGTCTCGCAGTATACTTTTGTGTTTTGTTTATTTTGAAAATCAAATCACAGGATTATACTGTGAGTTATCGGCTGTAGCAACAACAAAAATCCATTTTAGACACAAAGCTTTATAAGAATCTACGCCCGCGACTAATCGAAACCCTTTCTTAATTGCTTTTGCAGTGGCGTTGAAGCCAAACAGCCCAACTCTGCCATCCGCAAGTGTGTGCGAGTGCAGCTCATCAAGAACGGCAAGAAGATTACCGCATTCGTGCCCCGTGACGGTAGCTTGAACTACATTGAGGAGAACGACGAGGTTTTGGTTGCCGGTTTCGGTCGTAAGGGTCATGCCGTCGGTGATATTCCCGGTGTCCGTTTCAAGGTCGTCAAAGTCGCCAACGTCTCCCTGTTGGCACTTTACAAGGAAAAGAAGGAGCGCCCAAGATCTTAGATGACGTTACATCTATCATTTTCCAGAGTTAGGGTTTTACAAAACTAAATAAACAAGAAAAAAAACAAAAATGAAACACGTTTTAGTTCCTTTGCAAATTGAAAAGATCGAAGATTCAAAGGCTTATATGAAAACTATATGATATAGTGGCCAGACGCTGGTGGGACTTGACCCAAAAAGTTGGGAGTAGATAGTGATAATTGCTTAGTTGAGTTGAAATATCTTAACTGAAGGTTTTAAGATGAGGACGACGGACAGTTCCTTTGGTAACAATAAAAGGAAATGATATTCAAAATGAATATAAAACCGGACGGATATGACTATGCACTAGATGCTTATACTGCTCAAGATTACATATCCTTTAAAAGATTACAAATGTTTATAGATTTCTCTTGACAAAGTTAAAGTATTGATTTTTTATAGTGTTGAGCATTTAATATGTGTAGTATGTATTTTCAGTATGCGGCTTATTCATAATATGTATTTATAATTATATTTAAATGCCTAGAGCCTTATAAACTAGCAGTATGGATTATAGTCAGCCTGTGCCAGACTCTTCGCCCGTTCAGGGGTAACTACCTCCGCCGCCGCCACCGGCATTGAAATTGTTTGGTCCAGGACGACGCATGGGTCGACGGCCGCGGGAACGATTTGCGAACATGCGATTGGAGTTGGGTGAGCCGCTTGGCATATTCGGATCCTGATTACCCGGATGTCCGCCGCGCATATTGCCCGGCTGTGAGTCGCGCTGCCAGACAATGCGTGCCGGCCTGTTTGTGTTGCCGCTGTTGTTGTTATTGGAATTGGTGCCGCGCATCAGGGAACGACCGCCACGGCGGGTGGGCACCGTGCTGCGCAGCGTGCGAAAGCGTGTGTTCTCCGAGGGGGATGTGGCCTCGGCTTCGCGACCCTCCTCCTGGGAAGGAACACATTAAGTTGTTATTTGTGTACACACACATGAGTATATTTCGAATAGCTTACCTCAACTTCGACGGCCTGTTTTTCGCCCTCTGACGAGACGCCATCGGCGCCCTCGTTATCCTCGGAGGGCCCCTCGGCCTGGTTATCCTGGTTTTCTGGCTCCACCGACTGACTTGTACCCACATTGGGATCTGCTGAAGATTTATGGATTATTTATTATATTACCACCATTGCAGTCGACTCTCAACTCCACTCTACTCACTCTCATTGCTCAGCTGCTGAGACTCCTCCGCCTGGCCAGCGGCGATTGTCTCTTCGGCAAAGGCTTCCTCTGCCTCGCTTGCGTTCTCCGCGCCCGTTGTTTCACTTTCATCCGGCTTGTCTTTGGCCTCGGCGGCCTGGCTGCTGCTGCTGCTGCTCTGCTCGGCGGCCTCATTTGGTTTCTGCGGCGAACTGGCAACGGCAGCTGTGCAATCGACGCTGGTGCCGGCGGCGCTCTCATCCGCCGCCGCCGCAGCAGCCTCCGCAACAGCTGTGCCATCGACCTCCGTCTCCACGCATGTGGGCTGCTCGCTAAAGTTGGATACCTGCGGCGAGCTAACAATCTCCACGGAACTGCTGTGGGGATACACACGGGAAAATAATAAGCATAATCTTTCGGATGAGTTGAAGCCTGCAGGTATCTCACCTCTCAGTGCGACGTGCTGCAGCCGTTGATGTGGATGGCGCCTGCTGCTTCCAGTTGGCCTCGGCCTGCGGTAATTGGAGTCCATTCGATTCGCCGCTGCCACTGGTTATGGCCTGGCTTTGGTTATTCTCCTGGGTCGAGACGGTGGCTGGCAAATCTTCGAGCAGTTGGCTCTCGGCCTGGGCCTGCATCTGCACTTGTTCGATATCGACTTCGTTGTGTTGATCGGGTGCATCGGCGCCTTCGTTGTCCTCCATTTCGTTGTCCTGCTCGTAGGAATCCTCGTAGCCCTCCTCCTGCTCGGCATCGCCGCCATCGATGGGCCCCAGCACATCTTCCTCCTCATCATCGGAGTCCACGACCTGAATATCATCCTCCTGGTCCCGCTGCGAAGACGTCGGCATCTGGTCAACATCCATGCCGGAATCGCCAATATGCCCGGCAGACAATTCGCCGCCGTGCATGGGCGCACGCAACCGTTTCGCCAGCTTGACAATCTTCTCGGGCACGCCCTCCTCCGCATTGGTGGAGGAGTCGCCCTCGACATCGCGTGGTCTCTTGGAGCAGCCGGCCTGGGTGGTGGTCACATTGCTGCTGGACGGCGTATGGCGACTGTGACTGCTGACCACCGTGGAGGAGCTGCTGCTGCTGCCCGATGTGCTGGGCTGCTGTTGATTGCTGGCATCCTGGACGCTAGGAACAGTTGGATTCTGTGTGGATGTCGATGTGGTTGTGCTGGTCGACGAGGACGACGACGAGCCCTCCACACGCGGTGACACCAGCGCCACCACCTGCTGCTGTGCACCGCCGACAAACACTTGTGCATCATTCTGCTGCGGATGCTGCACACTCTCCGCCTCATGGGAGCTCTCCGCCGCTGCCGTGGCGCCCATGGGCGGAATTGCAGCAACGGCCACAGCCGCCGAACTGGTCGAGGGCATATAGTCTGTGTGCGATGATGTGGGCGACGAGGAGGCCATGGACTCCAGCGTCGCGCTGCCCGTGGTATGCACCTGCTGCTGTGGCGGCACCAGGGCTGTGTTGCCCACAGCAGAGGAGGAGGAGGAGGAGCTACTGCTGCTGCTGCTGCTGCTACCCGAGGCAGCGGCTGCCGATGATGAGGTGGACGTCGATGTGGAGGTTGAGGTGGAGGCGCCTGGCTGCTGGCTGGTGGGCAGTATGGCAGCTGTGCGGCTGTTCTGCACGGAAATGGGCCGGATGCTGGCCAGAGGCGTCTCGCCGCCGCGCCAGGGCGTCACCGTGGCCGATTGCTGCACTGTGGCCGAGCCGGACATGGGCTTCACGTTGGCTGTGCGCGGCGAGGACTCCGATATGTTGCCCTTTTCGGCCATGCCCACCGAGCTGGTTGAGGGCTTGGTGGACTGCTGGGAGCCCAGTTGGCGCTGCAGCTGATTGATTCGCATGTGCAGCGATTCGTTTTCGCGCATGAGACGCGCATTGATGTCCTTGTGGCTGGTGATGTGCTCCTGCAGCTCCTTCTCGAGACGCAGCACGGTTTCGTCGTAGCTGGTCTTGGTGCCGGCGAGCGTTGTCTCCTGGTTGGCCAGCTCGGTCTTGGTCACGGTCAGCTCCTGCAGCAGCTTCTCGATCTTCTGCTTGGACTCGCCGCTCTCCTGCTCTACGCTCGAGCGCGACTTGAGCTCATCGTGCTCCTTCTGCAGCTGCTCGTGCTGCTCCTTGGTGTTGCGCAGCAGATTGTTCAGCTCGTCCAGCTCGGAGCGAACCTTCTCCAGCTCGGCAACGGTATCGTTGCCGCCGGTCTGCGCCTGGAGGCCCGTGTAGTAGTCCTTGTAGCGCTTGGCCAGCTTGCGCAGCATCAGTTCCTTGCTGTCCTTGTCCTGTATGACCTTATCCTTGGACTCGAGCTCCTCCTGCGCCTTCATCAGCTCCTCCTCCTTCTGCAGCAGGCGGTTCTTTAACTCCATAATGTCCTGCGCCTGGCGCGTGCTCGTCTGCTTAAGCGCC